CATACTCATATTAAAAGCTTTCCCCCTAGCCTTAGCTAGGGAGTTAGTTCCCCATAAAATAAAACTAAAACAGAAATTTAGAACTAGAAGAATTGGAGGAAGGAGAGAAAGCTCAAGAGTTGTGGAGCTTGGTGTGTGATTTTTGAAGCTTGAAGACTTCTCTATTTATAGGGCTAAGAGGGAGGAACATCATGATGAATTCCAACACCACCATTCCTCTTTTAATACAATCCATAACTCCCACTTCATCTTGTCTATGTTAGTGTGGTTGGAATCAATTCCATCCCATACTTCTTTTGGCATGGGTGTGGCACTTCATGCATTCTTTTCAATTCTTTAGCTGCTGCACCTCAAGCTTTCTTCACATGGGTATTCAAAGGTGTTCAATTATGGCTGCCTTTTGCTGCAACCCATGTGGGTTTTCTTTTGGTTGCTGGAAAAAATGATTCTTCTGAACCAGGCTTAGTGTAGGAAGGCCTGAGGTTTCAATATATATCCAATGGGGCTCAAATTTGGATATGTCATAATAGACACCTATTGGAACAACTTTTATGAAGAATGTATTCCCATCTGAGCAGTACAAGTATACGTTTTGGGCCTTGTAAGTTGACTGCCGAAAATAGACTGGAATTGGCTTCATTTCTTTTCTTTCTTTTCTTTTTGCTTCACATGCATGCACATTCTTTCTCCTTAATAGCTCCAACATGCACCTATATAAAATCATGATATTAGAATCGAATGTAACAATTATTGCCCAATTGATAAGAGTTTGGGTGCCACTTCAAAGAGAGAGCTACCAAATAGAGAATTCAAATGAATTAGCCTACATTTCAATGAAGTGCAAATGGATTCTTGGTGACTCAAAGTCTTGATACCATTTTGTGCCGTGCGGCTATACTGTAACATCCCAACCCAAAAATATAACTATTCTTGAATTTAATTAATTTCATAAAATATGAGTTTACAATTTTGCCCTCGAGGGTAGGGGTAATTTGGTCACTTTTTAATCCGGAAGGGTTTGGAGGATTTGATTGGTGCTATTACATAGATCGTACCGAGATGAGTCCGTAGACATGTAGTGGGGTCGAATCAGAGTTGTAACGAAAAAGTTACGATCAAAATACACTTTGTGGCATAATCGTAATTTTCTCAAAATTGGTTTTAATAAATCTGTTTTCTCTCTCTCTCTCTCTCTCTCTCTCTCTCTCCCTCCCCCCCTCCCCCCAACTTTTTTTGAAACAGCTGGTGGCTCAAGGCCGCTGCCATAGGCCACGGTTGGCCACGAGACCGAACCTAAATTGATCGCCTCCTCTTCCTCTTCCAGCCCCACCCCTCCTCAGCCCCGATCCACAGCTCGTGTCGCAGGAAAACGTCAAAATACGGCCAGATTTTTCTTGATTTTTCCGACGCTTGTTTCGGTGATTCTAGCAACCAAATTCGTCTAACGTGGTATGTTTTCTATAACATCCCACATCGACCAACGGAGAAGGGGTGATGTGCCTTATATGTACATGCCCACCTCCATTTAGCATGAGGCCTTTTGGGAGCTCACTGGCTTCGGAGTCATGAGAACTCTGAAGTTAAGCGAGTTGGGGCCAGAGCAATCCCAAGATGGGTGACCCACTGGGAAGTTGCTCGTGAGCTCCCAGAAACAAAACCGTGAGGGCAGAGAGGGGGCCCAAAGCGGACAATATCGTGCTACGGTGGAGCCGATCCCAAGATGTGACAATTTGGTATCAGAGCCACTTTGTCGTATGGTGCAAGTGTGCCGACGAGGACATCGGGCCCCTAAGGGGAGTGGATTATAACATCCCACATCGACCAACAGAGAGGGGGTGATGTGCCTTATATGTACATGCCCACCTCAATCTAGCACGAGGCCTTTTGGGAGCTCACTAGCTTCGGATTCATGGGAACTCCGAAGTTAAGCGAGTTGGGGCCAGAGCAATCCCAAGATGGGTGACTCACTGGGAAGTTGCTCATGAGTTCTCAAAAACAAAACCGTGAGGGCAGAGAATGGGGCCCA